AGCTCGCACGGCGAGTCGTCGGAAATACTAGAGGGCGACGACCGCTCACCTAAAGACGAAGACCCCATTCGGATTGTGTGAGAGAGAATAAAAAGAGGGAAAAGCAGGGAGTTTGAACCATAAATTGGGGCATCAGGTTTGCTACCCTGCACTAAGGGAAACGGCAATGAAGAAGAAAGATGAGAAAGAAAACGAAGAACAAAATAGACGCGCTAAAAAGGGGAAAAAAAGAGAGCGGGGGTGCTAAAGCCTAATCAACAGACCACTACCGCGCAAAAAGTTCAATAAGGCCCTCACTGATTTTCTGTGCGAAGACAGGTCGTGTCGGCTTTCGAGCGCTGACTGTTCTGACAAGGGTCTGTCTTCAAGTCGGGCTAACGCAGCTGCGAGCGGCTGTTTTTTGCACGCTGTAACGCAGGCAGTGACATGTAGAGAACGTGCTCTATCGTTTCATCGCTGCCGCAATGGAACTGGGGGGCGCACGTAAAACGTGGGACGCCTAAACACGAGCAAGAACACGAAATAACACCGCATGAAGTCAAGCAAATATGAATATTTCCTTAGTGCGAGCTGGCAGCGTCTCATTATGAACCGCATCCCGTAGAAAATAATCTTTGTTTTTTGGTTTTTTTGGTGATTGCTACGCGGCAAACACGGCCGCAATTGCGTTACTATTTTCTTCAGGGGTGGCGCACGCCCGTTGGCAATGAGAGAAAGGCTCCATAACTTTTGTTTCATTGCCAAGAAAAGTTGTCCCCGAGTACAGTTTTCCGATCCGCACTTCATCTTTTGAAATGCGCGTGCTCAACTGAAATTAAAGTAAGTAAAGGAATACTAGCAAACTATTTGATCCAAGATGCGGTACAACATGTACTTTAACATACTTTTAAACGCTTGTGTCGAGGTAGACTTATGCTCGAACGCGTCATCACGCACGTACAGTGCTCTATGGACCTTCACTACAAGGGATAAAAGCCCTCAAGGCAGGAAGATAAAAGTGAGGAAGGGCATAGTAGGCGTGTACAAGGAGCGGTTAAAGATGTGAAATGGGAGGCAGCAGCATTGTATTCGCTCAATAACCTGTGTGAAGTTACCACGGTTTTTTGAAAGCAAGCCTAACTTTAGTCATTCAGTGTAGCCTTTCGCTTAAGTCTATGTTCATCTGCCATTAACGCCGATTTGCAGCTGTGTACAACGTGATACCGACCGCGTGGACGTTATGAAGAATGTAAGATTTAGCGTATTTCGACGGGAGGCATGCAAGTGTTGTTTTCGAGCGAAGATTATGCGTACAGTCTTGACTGTGTCCAGAAAATTCTACCAATCCGGCGATAAACATCTATCAAAAGCTATTTATCTCACACTTGAACAGGGTGATGCGGTCTAATACTATTCGACATTACACGAGCGTACATCGAAAGTACACGAGTAGTAGTGAACGGAGCTACGTACGGCGTTACGAACTACACGACACTAAACAAGACACGGCCTTGTCGCCACTGGCGGAATTCCGTGTAGTCTCTAAAGCTATCGCACGGACGTCACAGATACTTACACAAGAGATTCGGAAAAAAGCTCATCGTCATGTGTAGCGCGCGGAATTATCACGAGCATCGACAAGTTTACGGACACGACACGAGACACCCGACGTTGGTATTGTTGATAAAGCTTATCTCACGAAACCCGATTTCACGGAACGGTATATTTTACGGAAAACTCGCTTTTTTTTTACGGGACGCTTAAATATACGGAACGAAGAACTTGGAGAGAAACATCAATTTCGTTTTAGGAAGTTTCGTTTCTGCACTTATTCAAGCACTAGTTCAGTTGTTCCTAGTCTCAAGCTGGTAATGTCTACCTTATCTTATGAAACTCGACTTCACAGAAACGCTCATTTTTCGTGAATCCTTTCTTGTTTACCAAAATATAACCCTTAGCTTTACGGAACGCCAAATCTAACAGGAACGCCAATTTCGCCAGCAAGTTTCGTTTCTGCAATTCTTCAAACACAACTTTAGTTGTCCGCAGTGCGCCAGCTTCATAGGGCTTTTCATTATATAAGTGCCACTGCGTATTTTCGCCGCATAAAATCTGGTTTTGGACGCTGAACACTGAGATAGAATCATTAGGACAAACCTCTCTACTTTGAACATACGCGACACCTCTGATTTTTTTTTTTTTTTACCCGTTCACTCACTGAAAATCTTACCTCGAAGTATCGCCAACTTTACTGCGGCCTTTTCAAACCCTACGAAAGATTGTTCCACGACGGAGTCTTGAAATCCTGCTCAAGTAAATCGTCAGCGTTGACAATGTTACGCGTTATTATGCGAACACTCGAAGAGATCAAAGTTTCTACTACAATACTGCTAGTAACGTTTTGCGGTGCTAGAGGAAATGCACTCGCACATATATACACGGCAATAAATAACTTCCCTGGACTGCAGGCTATCGTCGAGCACGCCTGGAAAGCACGCCGATGACGCGGGAATCTCTCATGTGCAGTGTCCGAAAAGCTACACAACACAGCGAGCACGAGCTTCGAGCGTGCTTTGAACAATGAACACGGGGGAGACGGACGAAGTCTCCAGTGGCTGAAAAGCGCGAACCTGCTTCAGATGCAGCCGCTTTATGCACACTCCGTATAGAGAGACATTTTTTTTTTTTTGTTGGCAATCGAGAGATGCCTTTCTCACGAGTTATCCGCGCCTACATCTCTACAATAACCTTCGCAAAGAAGAACACTTGAGGTGAATCCAAATGAGTGGATCACCTGAACGTGGCACATGATGAGTAAAATGCAAGTATCTTGCGCAATAGAGCGAGCGGGATGCAACATCAACCAATAAATGCTCGCAGAGTGAACATCTCCATAGTGTGATACAGCCCAATGAATCAGCTGAGATTACTGCCGCCCCCCACATCACCACAAAGGCGCGGAAGTATGCCGCCTCCGCAACTAATGATATAGTCCCGATCATGCAGACGCACTCAAGCCGAAGGAGGGCTCGCTGACCGCCTGGTTCATGACATCAGTCTGAAATGCACGCCCATTGGTCTACGCTTTTATGCATTCGCGTTTGAGGAGGAGACTTTAAGGTTGTTTCCGACTATAGAGCCGTGTAGACAATAGATTGTTAGCGCGGCTTATAGTGGGCTATTGCGGGTTCACGGAATGCAGGAACGTCAGAGACTCAGACAGCGAGGCAGCACTGTGGACGCCATCTTGCGCGGCAACGATGTCACATAACACACGGAAATTGATTGCCCGGAGTTGTGTTCCGCCTATTTCCTAATAACGAGGCGTTAATAGTGACAATGGACAGCAGACAGCTGTTTTTTTTCTCTTATGGGAGTACTATGAAGCCGCACAATGGTTAGCTCCCAGTGATTGCAGAATTTATCGCAAGATGACGCTGCACAGCGCTGACATCCTCATAGACGTCTCCAGGAAGGAAGAAAGGAAGGAAAGCAAGAGAGAAAAGGAAAGAGTGTTAACGAGCTTCACGTAGCCGGTATGCTACCCTGACAGGCAAAAAGACGGGGGATTAAAAGAAAAGTAAAGAAAGAGGGAAAGAGGCGGGAGCACACCACAAAGCAGAGTGTTACTGCGTAAATTATATTGTAAATCTACGGAGGGGTTTAGGGAATAACAGAATAACAGAAGCTGATTTACAGGCACCACCTTGCGACGATGAATATAGCTAGAGGCACAGCGAAGATTATTTGTATCACTGTTTTCGCTTAGCGTAGCGGGCATCCATAACTACAGCCACCAACGTTCGATGGCTCTCTATATTCTTTGTTTCGACAAAAACGCTCAGGTAGAACAAAAAGACTTGCAAATCGTTGTAGCAGCAGGAGCTGCTAACAACGCCTTATCTGGTATCCGTGTATTCCGTAAATGGTAAAAAAAAAATTTGGAGTCAAGATTGTTTGATGGGTTAGACAATTATTCATAGTAACAAACGATTTTTGTGTAGCGATGTCAGCAGATATCTTCAGAACATACGGAGAAGTTTTAGGCAGCCAACTATAAATGCAGAGGCATATTCAAAATTGTGAAAGAGAAATAAAGAAAGAAAAGACAAATGACTAAGTGGCGTGTATGGCGGTGTATATTGAGGTCTTCTTACGAAAATGCACAAGGACGTCACCTTCATTTACACGCTAGTATGCAGCAAACCGTAAAGCGAAAAATAAAAAAGGGGCTTATGAAAACTAATAGCAAAGAACACGAGAAGGTGCTGCAAACGTGTTTCGACGGTTTAAAATCTTTGTACAGAACACGAGATTTGCACAGAAATCGAAATCAGCACAACCAATGATTGACGTACGCGGGACTTACAGTATGCTGGAAACTTTGGTTTGTAATGCAGTAAATACGAAAATAATACAATTTAATAAAACATAAAATAATGCACGTTGAACAATTTTGCCTGAAGCATCAATTGAACGTTTCTTGGCCAAGTGTTTCGACGCTAAACTGAAATGCCGTACAGCGTCTACACGTAGCATTAGCAGTCTTTCTTCCTTGTACGTCTAAACAGTTTCAGCGCAAAAAAAAGTAAAACAATGCAATAAATAAAAGTTATTCACAAAAGAGTCGTCAAAGGGCTGTAGGCTAAAAAAAAATATACGGTTCTATCGAAGCACATACTCGAACTACACTTATGAAGGCATTGCATGGGCAAGTAAAAACAAAAAAAAAACTGCTGGCATACGCAAAACCACAATCACTGCGGTTATCATGATATAGTAATGTACGCATGAATTAAAAAACAAATTCAGACCATTGAACGCGATCGATAAGAATGCACTAAAAGCGAAATATTTCACAAAAGCACGCATCACATAAGTTAAATGTTGAAACAAAGCGCTCAATAAATCTTCACATGTCCATGGTGTATATATATATATATATATATATATATATATATATATATATATATATATATATATATATATATATATATATATATATATATATAGCTTATTTGCAGGCGGAGATGATGAGAGGTGTCGAGCAAAAAGGAGAGGGCGTTAGTCTCTGGCATAGAACACGTCGAAAACGGTGGGCAGCAGCAGCAGCGGGTATAGTTGTGTACAGGCGATGATACCGGATGTGTCGATCAAACCGTTTTGTCTTTTCTTCACTTTTTGGCATACGTGCTTGAGCCAGCACACTCCCCTTCCATTCCGCAACAGCCAGTGGGGGAAAAAAAACAAAAAAAAGAAAGAAGCGTTCGCGGCGAAGTAGAGAGAGTTGACTAGCAGTGGTGTGTCGTCGCGTCGACGACGCACAGTTTGTTGCGGGGATATCAGACGAGCTTCGACAGTCGCGCCACCTCGCGCTTGGCGAGCGAAAGGTCCGTCGTGAGACGCACTTCCTTGTCGGTCAACTTCTGCATTTCGGCCTGCATGATCTGCGAAGAAAGAGAACCAAATTGAAAACCAATACGCACGGCGTGTTAAAGAGTATTTGCGCTTCAACAGAGCAAGAGCACTGAAACTATAATTTTGCACTTTGTTCTTTTATGTTACAACATGTAACTGATGATCTTATCGCGGCTGGATACCTGGTTTGGGCGAGTGCGCGGCGGTTGTTTATTTGGGGACGCTTTGAGAGCGTTCACTATCAGTTTCGGTTTCAAGCTAAGCAGGAGCAGTTCCGGAGGCAAGGCACACACGGCTGACCACGTGAGCGACCGAAACTGTGACGTAGGCAATGCGCGCGAGAGGGCGCAGCATTGACAGCCTGCACAGTCAGCACACGCGAAGCCGCATGCACGGAGGAAGAAAGCGGAGGTAGCGCGAGCGTAACGCTCGTGCCAGCATCCAGCCAACACAAACTTGTGACGTAGATTTGTTTACATTGCCCCCGCGTTGGTGCCGGCATCGCGAGGGGATCCACATCTCGCTTAGTTGCACGGCGTGCAATTTAAAGGCGATTTTATATTTGCCCTTAAAGATACACTAAGGCCAAACAACAATTTACGTCAGAGCGAAAGCTCAATGTATGACAACATTTAAAACGACAATATCATAAATAACAGTGCCCTACTTACAAAGAAATTAAGGTAATTGCATAAGAACTCAAGCGCCGCAGTAGGACATTTTCAAAATGATCACGTTGACGTCAGACGGACCAACTACAATTCACCACTAGCAATCGATCTAGCTGCACTAAATAAAAAAAAACGTTCTATGCATTAAGAGACCCAATAAACGCTGCTTGTTCGTTTCTGTTTGATTCATGAGAAAAAAAAAATCGCCGGACGTTACTATGGGGAATGAATCGAGTGGTTCAAAAATTCAATTTTCGCATGGTTACACGGCACAAGTGGTGCCAATAGTGGGGCACAGTTGAAACAAAATTGTCTGCAATCTCGAACTCAATGGCGGCAAATTGATCAATGGCTGTTGTTGCTGCTGTGGCTCCCGCTGCTTTCAGTCTGCTGCTACTAGCGCAGTAAAGCCGGGCAACGTTGTGCATGACAACAGTGATGTGAGATGGTCCGGTCGGTCCGTTTCTTGAGGCGGAATCTGAAGTGCGCTAACCCGATGCGGAGCACTAAAAAGTGATTTTATTTCAAAATAGGCCCTTCCTTGGTACAAAAGTAACACTACGAGGTTTCTCGACCACCATTTCAGCAATCAGCATCGACTTTATAGTTGACTTTAGTGTCCCTTTAATATCTCGTATATGTTGTGGAAGTCTGCGCATAAATAAATCTATCTCGATCGCCTTCGGAATTTTGGGTCAGAGCTCATTAAAGAGGCACTCAATTTTCGATCTCAAGACACTTAATTTTCGATCAGTATTTGTGTCACGTGGGTTAAACCTTGTGCATTCACAAATAGCTGGTGAAATTTTAGTGCATTCGGTCGAACACTCATTTTTATAATTGAAAAAGTTTATAAACACGATTGCAACCTGGAAGTCGGGCAACCCTGGCACACTCGCTAACCATGAAGTAAGAGGCTGCTAGCTCACGAGCGTCAGCATTCCGGCGAACGATATTGTTCCGTCCTCAGCTGCACGTGAAGTCGAGATATTCTAGCTTTCCTCGAATTGGCACTAGAACTGAACGAGTTGCATCGGCCGAAACTTCAATAGAAAACGACAGTTCTACTTATTGCTGCATATGACGTCGCATGTGCCATGGCAAAATAGCGGTTGCCGGCGGTGGGCGGAGTTTACAGCCTGCGACTTCTAGGGCTGGTTTCACGCTGAAACATTCCTTTGCTGCCCACTATTCATATCCTTGTAGGCACAATAGACCCTCTACTTCTAGTTTGCGCTGAAAGCCATGAATTGTTGCGTGGCCATGTCATGGTCCTTTTTAAGCATTTAGACACGAGTTAAGGAAGCTCAAACGAAGCGAAAGCGACTTATACTATGCTGCCCCAGCCGCAGGGTGGTAACGTTTCTCTAGTAAACCTAGCGCAGGCTGCAAATCGGAACAGTGAAGCATCATAAGACAAGAAATTACTTAACTGGGCATGTCGACGTAGCAGACGTTTCGACCAGTGGACTTCTCTTCATCAAGTCATCAATCATTGCTGGTTTTAACAAAGACAAGTCCGCTTATCGAAGCGTCCGGCTCCAGCTGACATTAACTACATCGTAACGAGCTGGGGTGCTACACTGGATATTGTCAAATTGCTGCTATTTGTCGACTGTGATTCACACAGAGGGCTGATGTAGCCTGTCTGATTATATAGCTTGGAATGCCTGCCAATACAAGATTTCACAATAAGGCGGAATTCGACAGAGCCCAGAATAACCCACCCCTTCCCCTCTCTGTTCGTTCAACGTCATCGGTTGACATCTTTTTTTATGAGCGAAGCTTCTTAGGCCCGCACTTCGATGTCGCCGTCGAAGCTCGCAGCTCCGGGCATGCGCGCCGAATAAGTGACTCTTATACGAAAAGAAGATAAAAGTGAGCCCCGTAACTGTCTTTCGGGGGAGGGGGGGACACACCTCAACAGCAGCTCACGAGGGGTGGGGGTAAAGAGGAATAAAAAGGATAGGATTAAAAGATATAGAGATAGAGAGAGCGGAAGGAGAGAGCGAGGCGCAGGGACAGCCACATCCGGAAGTAAGGAGAAGATACTCTCCATCATCGAGCGTCTGACCTCTGCTCCAACAGACCCTTCCGTTCGCCTGTTCGAACTGCACGACAACATTCTGTACCGTCGCAGCTTCAACGCCGATGGCACGGAATTGCTACTCGTGCTTCCCCTTCACCTGCGTACCAGTGTTCTCGAACAGCTATACGACGTACCTACAGCCGGTCACCTAGGCGTCTCTCGTACCTACGATCGTGTGCGACGTCGATGTTTCTGGCCCGGACTGTATCGTTCTGTGGTTCGCTACGTCACTGCTTGCGACCGCTTCCAACGCCGTAAGTGCCCCTCTGTGCTACCGTCTGGCCTCTTACAGCCCATTGACATACCCACGGAACCATTCTTCCGTGTTGGCCTTGACCTGTTGGGCCCGTTTCCTACGTCCATCTCCGGAAATAAATGGGTCGCAGTCGCCACAGATTACGCCACACGCTTTACCATCACTAAAGCACTGACGACAAGCTGTTTCACTGACGTCGCTGACTTTCTGCTGTATGAAGTCATTCTTCATCACGGCGCTCCACCGCAGCACCTAACTGATCGAGGAAGGTACTTCCTTTCACGTGTTGTGGATGACATTCTCCGTGCCTCCTCCACTGAGCACAAGCTTACCACCGCTTATCATTCACAGACAAATGGATTGACCGAGCGTCTGAACCGAACGCTGACGCAGATGCTGTCTATGTATGTTTCACCAGATCACCGTGACTGAGACAAAGCACTCCCCTTTGTCACCTTTCCGTACAACTCTTCACTGCACGACACAGGTAGTTATTCTCCGTTTTATTTGCTATTTGGCCAAGATCCAGCATTACCATTTGACACGCTCCTTCCTTCGGCTACTCCCTTGTCTACTGAGTACGCCAGCGATGTCGCTTCTCGAGCCTATGCAGCCCGTCAGCTTGCCCATGATCGGCTGCTTTTGTCGCAAGAGTATCAAAAAGACTGTTATGAGAGTAGCCACTAAAGCGTGCACTTCTCGCCGGGGTCTCTGGTACTTCTCTGGACACCAAACCGCCAAGTCGGCTTATCAGGGAAGCTGCTACCACACTACCACGGCCCCTACAAAGTGTTACGACAACTTAGTGACGTGAGCTACGAGATCACACCCCTAAACAAGGCCTCTTCGACCCCCTCACTCCAGACGGACGTTGTCCACGTTTCAAGACTCAAGCCTTATCACCCTGCTCGTTCGTCGGCACCGTACCAAGCGCCGTGACGGCGCTTCTGCAGCGGGGGAGTGATGTTACGGTGCACCATCGACAGGAGCAAGCGTAGCATTTTGCGAAGAGGACGAAGACGCCTGTGCGTAGACGCTTGCGCGAAAAGCAACTCAGTCATCTTGTTCGGCTGCCGATTCTCTGTGGACGACTTACTATGACCCCAGATTCGCCCCGTCACAATATGAATGATGGACACGGTCGCAGGAGTCCGAGGACGGGGCACCACTCGGCGAGAGCTCTTAGTCGGCGTCAGGAGATGGCGTAGGGCGAACCAGTCGGCCAGAGCTGCGCTGTCGTCGGAGATCGCGGGGGCTCAACCGGTCGGCACGAATTCAACAAGCGAGTACGGGCATGCGCGCCGAGAAAGACAACAGGTGCGCGCTCACGGCGAGCAGGAACGCAGGCGTGGCCGCAGGTGGCTCGCGCTGCGCCACGCGCGCCGCATACTCACTCGTTTACTCGTTGCCGCCACCAAGCGCAGCAGACGTTCTCCCAACCCGCTAGCCGCCCCTACAGCCGTCATGAAAGTCAGCAGCGAGATCAGGCAGCATAGTAGTTTGCATTCAGTTTTTTAAGAAGCTTCGCTCATCGGTTGTATTCGTACACGGAACACCTGCTATTTTTTTTTATTCTACTATATAACCAGCATAGTTATACTCACTGCTTTATCCTTGAGCCAGTCAAACTTTTCCCTCTTCATACGCGCTAGTTCTTGTGCCAGGCTCTCGATCTGCTCCTGAAAGCCTTGGAACATATCGGCACCTGCAAGAGGAAGACGATGCACACGAAAATACTGAACGTGCTACTCTGCGTGCCGAGAGTAAATTAAAAAATAAAGCTGCAACACGTGTAGGACAAAAGAACGTGCACCTATTTCCCATGCGATGCGAGCTATAAAGAAAGCATGCTCTCAAAGATGAAGTACCCAAAGCCACAAAGAGAGAAAAGGAAAGAATCTGATTGGCCAAGCTTAAAGGGGTGGTGCCACCAAATTTCGAGCCTATCAGGAGCCTGCTATTGGTTTTCCCTGTATGCAAGAACTCTCCACGCGAACGGGCCGGAAAAAACAAACGCGTAGAATATATTTTAATTCACTTTTAAAAGTGTAGCTGAATGCCCACTCTCACGATCTAGACCCATCGCTTGCGCAGCAACGCTGACCTTTCAGAATAGGCGAAGCAACAGCAGTTGTCGTGACGTCACAACAGATATGTAGTGACGAGTGCGATGGCGTCCCTTTCAGAGAAACCGTGTGCGTCCGTCAAGAACACTAGTGTGCTTTCGAAGCGTCCTTGTCTTCAAGACGCTGCGCGCGTTCAGCAGCGGGGCTGTCTCAATCCGCCATCAGCATCTCGGCGCCTATTCACGTTTTCATAAACGCCTCCCTGGGCGCCGCCACAAGCCCTTCTTGGGCTGTGCAAATAGGCGCGTCCCCTCGAAAATGCACTGACAACGCTGCGCCCTAAGCCTTTGTACTCCCGCGCACAGCCCATCATGGCGGTGTTTTTTTTCCCTTCCTGTGAAAAGGTGTATAAAAAGGCCGGCGTATCGAGCGTCGGTCGGCTTCCTCGTTCACGTTCTGTACATACGTTGTAAATATAAACGCTTTGTTTCCTTCTGGCTGCCTTTTGCCTTGCCACTGCCAGGATGCTACTGCGTCTGGCCATGGCGACTGTCAGCGCGTTTGTTTTGCTGCCGCTTGTGTGGCACGTGCGTATGAGAACAGACAAAACTCAGCACGATGTGCGTCACAATTTTTGTGTGGTCACATGACGAAGCCACCTATGCATAGACGCCACTGCCCAGCTCAGCGCCACGAAACCGAAACCGAAAATGGTCCACATAAGTAGAGCTATAGTAAACTAATTAGCGAAAATACACGAATCTCGGTGCGTATATCATGCTTCCTGGAGCTGAAGGAAAGGCTTACAGGAAATAACATGCATTCTACAAATTTGGTGTCACCACCGCTTTAAGAGGGCTTTATGTATTTATCTATACGTACGGGGCGCGGACACAAAGCATGTGTAAGCACACTTTGGCGGTACTGAATTATACAGTTCAAAACGATAAAATTATAGTCTCATTTTGAAGCACACCATATGCGGCGTTTCAGAATAACATCAATTGTCGTCTGGCTCACAGCAAAGCGGTGGCTGATGGTTCACGGTTCACACTTTTTTTTCCTCTTCCATAAGACCACGACCAAAATTTCTTCTGTTCTGCTCTAACTTGCTGCGGAGAAGATGAATATATATGACCTCCGCTAATCAACTTCTAAAAATAAGTCCTGTAGCACAAAAGAAAAAACCTATGAAGACAAAGGAATGGGAATTGAGCCCACGACATTTTAACGCCAAGCTATAGCTGTATACTCTAAATCAGCGGCGACTGAGTGATACTAAAAATATGCCTATGTTAACTTCGTAATGTTGCGGTTGTTTCAGCAAGACAATCCTTATTATCTCCATATTTAGTATTGCGCTGGACCTTGGTGCACTTATGTTCACAGTGAGAAATTCTGAGCAGTGCCGGGCTTTTAGTCTAATTATAGTGTGTATTACAGCTTGTCCAAACAATCTATAGGTCATTTACGGAAACAACAAACTGGCCGCTTTTGATGGAATAAAAGTGAGACTGGCAGTGCATCCATGAGTCATTTTTAAATCGGTAGTTTGCCGAAACAACACGTTGCAGCTTTATTTAAAGCAGAGAAAATTAATTGGGAGATTACGAACTCGGCAATATAATCGGCTTTCCTTGAGCTCTAAATAGTCACAGTATAGCGAAAAAAAAAAAAAACTCGCAACCGCCAAAAATTGTCGAATGAATGTCACGGTGATAATCTTGCATTTTATGTTTACTGTTTCAGTACTGCCACCCATACAGAAGAGAATGACCGGTTTAAAGCAACATTGACAGAAAAGAATTACAAAAAAGCAGCAAAGCTTTATCGAGGTGCAAGCGATTTTCGCAGTTGGAATAACCACATGCAGGCGATGCCATTCTGCAAGATGGCGCGGTAGTCATGTAGGTTGCTCAATGCTGTTAAATACTGAACGCAATGTCTCGAGACCACAATATATCAAAGTATGTGCCATGGCTGCAAGCTCGAAACCGTGCGATAATGAGGATCCGGTTGGAAAAATTAGTGATCTTGCAGGTTTCCCTTTCTTTTTTTTTCGTTAGAGTACTCCCAAACGAGTACCGGTACTCAATATCTCGCAGTGCATGTGCGAAATGGAGGTTCGAAAAAAAAAAGAGAAAAAAATGGTGGGCACTCGGTTAATAGCATGCCTTCCTGAAATGTAGACGCGAAAACAAATCCTTAAAAAGCTTCTCGGCATTCGAGAACTTTCTGAAACGGGACACAGCACGGATCTACTCGGCACATGATATCGTCATGCCATACTGTAAGACTCAAAGTCAGCGTTAAAACAATTACTTCACGACCTATCTTGCAGTACGTTTACTAGGCAATACTGACTGCGTCAGGAGTAAGGTGACAAAGTCAAATTTCACTTTTTTTTCATTGTCGAGTAAAAATCGAAAAGAATGAAAAGTGTGACGTGGACGCGAAGCATACTATTGTGCTTAAAGATCCACAAATGCTGAGATCTACAAAGGACTTCGGGCTAACGAAAGATGCTCTCCGCAATTAATTTAGGGCGATCCGCAGGACTTGTACGACACACTTCTCTGGCATGAGCTTATTTCGCAGAGGAGGTATACCTTGCTGTCATGTATTAGAACCAGCTGTACTTACACCACAGACTTGTTCATTTAAGACTATATGACTCGCTTACCAGCTTTGTGCTTTTTATGCGCTGATTGGCGACACACATCATGTGACGCAGCAATGCCCGAATTTCGGCCCGGAGAGAAAAGTACCGCTCGGACCGCGTCGGTGCTTGACTCATTCATTCTCTGTGGTCCGTACTGGTTTTTCAATAAAGTTTGAAGCTTATTGATTAATTGATTTGTGCGGTTTAACGTCCCAAAACCACCATATGATTATGAAAGACGCCGTAGTGGAGGGCTCCGGAAATTTCGACCACCTGGAGTTCTTTAACGTGCACCCAAATCCGAGTACACGGGCCTACAACATTTCTGCCTCCATCGGAAATGCAGCCGCCACAGCAGGGGATTTGATCCCGCGAAAGTTTGAAGCTTAAAGGGACACTAAAGTCAAATGAACAATTTACGTCATAGTGATGGCTCAGTGTTATGACAACATCTAAAACGACAATATTAGCAAGCAGCAGTGCCTTACTTACGGAGAAATCAATGTAAATGCACAAGAACACAAGCGCCGCAGTAAGGACATTTTCAAAATGATCCTGATGACATGAGACGGACCGCCTACAATTAATCACTAGTAATCAATCTAACTGCACCTAAATAAAGAACCTTCCGTGCACCAAAACACGCAATAAAATGCTGCTTGTTCATTTCTGTTTTATTCATGGGAAAAATAGCCGCCAGGACGTTACTATGAAATGTGGCACAAGTGGTTGGAAAATCCAATTTTCGCGTGGACATGTCGTGCCATCTAGCGGGGCCCAGTTGAGCCAAAACACGTCCTGCAATCTCGGAGCCAATGGCAGGATATTCATCAATGGCCGTTGTTGTTGCTGTGGCTCTCGCTGCTTTAGTTCGGCCTACTAGGTGTCGGCGACCTGCGCATTAAAGCCGGGCAACGTTGTGCACGGCAACAGTGACGTGAGTCAGACCGCTTCTTGAGGCGGGTGATTTGGAGTGCGCTAACGCAATGCGGGCCACTAAAACGTGATTTTATTTCAAAATAAGCTCTTTCTTGGCACAAAAGTAACACTACGAGATATCTGGACCGCTATTCTAACAATCAAAGTCGACTTTATAGTTGCCTTCAGTGTCCGTTTAAGCTTACAGCTAGGAAAAGTCTGTTTCCACATTATAGGGCGTCGATGTTATACGTCATTTTTCCCGAAAGGCTTGAGGTAATCAGAAAGGGCCTTCTACGACTACCGATTTCCTCTATGCTGATTAGCATCGGTCAACACAGACTAGTATGGACAATACACCCTTTTCATATATGTAAAGATGGCTTCACTGCGGTCATTTTCACCAAGCCAATGGCGGCGTAGCTTTTTTCGCAAAACGTGTACAATGACACTTCGCTTGTTCTATGATGTGGGCAGGAAAAACCCGGTTTTCGCGTCGTAAACGTGCATAAAAGACAAGCTCCAACGTGTGCTGATAGAACTTGCGCGTTCGTTTCAACTGCGACAGTTGCGACCATTAGTTGGTGTAATGTGCAATGCATAGATGCATTCTAGTGATTATTAATAACTGTTCCCTTGCCTGTGGTGTATGTCAGGCTAATCCTGACATAACCGCCATGACCCCAGCTACGAAGGTACGATAACGGAACGAAGCCGCATAACTTGAGCCATTCGCTGCCATTAGGGCAGACGTGCTCCGTCGGGACCAGAGCCAAGAGACTAAGTGCGGCGTGCGTTACTTGCGCATGCGCGGGGCACGCTGCTATGCGTGCAAGTGTATTACTTTAACTATTTCCTTTTCTATTCTCTCCATCTACTTTACTCCTTCTCCCGTGTAGGGTAGCAAACCTGGTTTAACCTGGTCAACCTCCCTGCCTTTCCTTTGCTTTTCTATCTCTCTACCGACGCTGCAAGTGCATTGAAGTACGTTGAGGACGGATCGCGTAGCTTTTTATATTATTCATACTAGGCCCCTTTCTTGTTTAATTACCTCGCGGTAGCCGCACTCTCTCACAATTCTACGAATGACGGATGACGTTCGGAAAGCTACGTTTGCGCTGCGAGGGCCGTCGCAACGGAGGGACGCGCGTTGCTCCCAACAATCCTCTGGTTCAATGATAAGCGCTGAAGCACAGAAACGCAGGAATTTCCGCAGATGATTGTCTAAATGCAGCTGCAAGAAGGCTCCACTGTCACAGAAGGTACAGCACACCACCATCAGAAAGTGCTTGTATACTGCGCGTTCTCCTCCGCGGGATTTTTTCGTATAAATGACAATCTATAAACTGCTTATAAGTGGCAGGTAATGCGCATTTGCTATATGTTCACATTATCTGCACACACTTACGTTGTTCTTGTTTCCTAATAATCTTGCTCTCTTCCCTGTTTTTGTTATGAACATGCTTTGCAAGAGTTCTGTCACGTCGTTGACTACGGGCACTGTAGTTTTAATATTTTTCATGTTTTTATTTTGGTTGTCGTGGCTATTTTCCAATATCTTTGAGTTTGCAATAGCCAGTCTTACACGTGGCCAAGTGGGGAATTTTTTCCCATCACGTTAAAAAGATATAGCTTTCTTCCGATGCTTCTTAGTTAAGCCCAAGCCTAAACACACTGCAAGCCTAGGCCGACGACCATGAGCAGAGTAAATGAAATAACAATAAACAATTCATTATTTATGATGTCATCGTTCAGTATTTAAACACCATGCCAAATTCTAGCTTAGCATGCACGGTCACTGCCGTTGCGACGGACATAAAGCAGGGAGCGGCATGCAAGAAAGAGCAGTCCTTGCTTTAAAGGGCGCGCGCGCGTGTACGTGCATCGGGAGACAACCAACCACCGTGCAGAAGCGCTAGGATAAGCACCATCCGCGTGCGATCCACCTCCGCTGGCCGCCGACGCCGCCGTGGCCTGTATGAGCAGGGAGCGGGAGTTGCGGGACGGGATCTCCGGCGGCGGCATCACCGTGCTGCCGCTGAGCCCCAGGTCGGACTCGACGCTGTTCAGACTAGAGGTGTCGGACTCGGCGCAGCCTGGCTGATGGTGCTGAGAGCCCGGCTGCTGAGAGCCCAGCTGGGATTTGGCCAACGAGGGAGGCGTCTCGGGACTGGACACAGGAGTGGTGGGACTACTGTTGGGACGGACGCCGGCTCATGCCCAACAGCGAGGTGACCGTGGGGAAGTCCAGCCTGCCGAGTTTGTTTCGGAAATCCCGGATATAACCAGGACGGCTAGGAGACGGTGGCACACCAAGCAGACTACACTCGGTGACATGCTCTATTCTGTTCACGCGGACTCTACACGTAGCTTCCACAATGCCACCGGCCATTAAGTGAACTAAATGGGGTTTGGTCGTGACAATTTATCTACAATACGGCAGTCAGTTACGACTAATTCCGGATAACCTTTGTACACGGGTATACAGTCATCCCACAGGGCGTCACCCCGTGTCTTCTCGCATGCCGTTCTAGTCGCCTTTTCTGCAGGAGATGATTACGCAGATGGGATTACGTGATTATTTCATATCCGTTTCAATATCCGCCAGAAAATCGGAGGCTGATGGCTACATGGTTAACATTGAACACGGCCACTCACAGTTGCCCTCCACAAATGTTCGAGGGCATAGGCAGACAAGTAGCAACCGAAAAGACACAAGGCACATCCCTGATGAACATTTCACGTTGCCTTGACATTCCCGCCAGACTGCCAGCATAATGTCTGCCAGCAACTAGTGATATTACTTCAATAAACGGACTCGATTCTTATATCAACGGTGGCTTTGCTTCTAAGTTGCTCCAGGTAATGCAGTAGTATTCAGTGCTGCGGTTGCTGCTACAGCAGGTTAGTCAAAATTGTTAGTGGTTTAAGCAAGTCAGTTGCACTTTTTTATAAGTTCGTCAGGACGCCATAACACATGCACGTATCACTAAGACTTGAAGGAATAAAGTGAACAATTTTACCAACAGCAAACAGAAGAATGTGGCTTTTTGTACGAATTCTACAAGTTAATTTTAGAAGGCATTAGCCACTGTTAAGTCAAAATAAAAACTGTCTCGTTTATATTAAGAAATACATAGCTGCGTGAGGCCCTATCTTGTGAGCGTGCTGTTTCACAGCTTCAAGAATAGCTGTTGTACCAAAACGCAGTAAGCTTTAGTTTTCGCTATAGGAAGCTGTGACAACGTGGAAAATGTGGTCTTCCCTAACGCATAGGTAGTACGTGACGCGGAACTCTTGTGTGCGTGACAGTCATTAATGAAAAAAATAATTTTTAAGCATACAAAATGGGCTTTTGACTACATAGCAACTCAATCATAGAATATTTTTGGCAAGTTTCTCAAAATAATGAGGCGAAAGAATAATACACGCGTCGCAGACTCACCGCCGCGCGCTGCTTTGTGATGGCGATCCTTGGTTGACGCTCTTGGAACTCTGGGCTTTAGGCGTCTGATGAAAAAAAAAAACGAAAAAAAGACCGACTCATTCAGTAACACTGCAAGCAGATTAAGGTAACCTAATATGCTTAAACATTGTCTTCAGCAGCACAACTGACCGAAACACACGAAAGAAGAAGGCAGAATAACCAAGTGCTGCTGTTCAATCATAAATTATTCCAAAAATCTACGAGAAGGTAAGAAAAGTAAAATTCAACCAAACTGCGCAGATGTGATAAAATTAATATGTAAAGTTGAATATCGCCTATCTGCCCACCTGCTGCGGGGATATGCGTCTGTCAAGCGTCGTTGTCTGTAACAGATAAAGATCTCAGCATGTGAGCGTGAAGTGATATATTATGTAACTCATTAACTGCATGATAACATCTGCGCTGTCTTAGTATGTTTTACTTGACTGCGTCACCACACTTTCTCAAATAATAATTTCAGTTGCAATTCAACGCTATTAAACCTTGAAAGTGTCTTACGCCGGGGTCCAACCACAGCTCCGCTGACGTATTTCCGTCATTGATATGACGTTGTGAAATATATACGAACATATTGACAGGAAAAAAAAATGGCCCCGTATCTGCACGTTTCACTGCAAATGTCAGCGAAAGATCTTGTGTCTGGAGAGAGGTGAACAAAACGTTTACTTTGATGTTCAGTGCGAGAAAATTGCAGTAATTGTATTCTGTAGGACGCTGCGTAAGAGTGTCTCAATCCGTGCAGCGAAGGCGAACGAGCGCATCGCGGCACGTTAGACACGATCGATATCTGGCAGTTATCATTCGAAAACGAAGGAAGGCGTGCGCGCCTGCCTGTCTCGGAGGCAATAAGGATGTAGAATGCAAAGCGACGGGCAGATGCCACCGCCGTGTCGTCTTAGCGAAAGCGCTGGAAACACTTGCCTTTTGAGCACCGCGTTGCATTGTCAGCGCAGCGTGATAAACGCTACGGTCCTTAGAATTACTTATGTATGCCATCCCTACTATAAAACACACACATACATGAATATTTACGTGTTGTTATGGCGGCTCGAATGTGCGCAATAATTGATTTTGAATTGACAATCACGCAAGTATGAGCGCTTAAACTTGAGCGATATTGTGGGTGCTGCGGATGGGGCTAGCCGTTTGGAGCATCGTTACGGCGGACAAACAGACACTTTACAGACCAACAGACCAATATTTTGCGTCAAAGTACACCATGAAAGACTCTCGTCTTTAAAAAAAAACGATAAGGAGAGATATTGCCGCACGGCATCTAACCACCGCCCTATCCATTCGCAGCGCGTGGCGCTAACCACTATGCCACGAAGCGTCCGTTGCTGAGGACGCTGACGGCAAGCTATCTGTATACACAACGCACCGTTTGGCAGTCCTCAGAGCTCCGAAACTTTAGCGCATTTTTCTTATCAGTAGCGATATGGCGCGACGGGCTCGCTCGCGTTGGGCGCGCTACGGGGGGGCACCGCCTCCTCGGAGCATAGTCTCTCCTGCGCGCGCTTATCGGACTCGTAAATCGGGAGAGGACGAAGTTCACTTCGCACGCCGCACTGCCGCATTTACGAAAAGAGCGCGCTGCTGGCACACGACGAAGTAAGAATTGTGAAAATTGTTCGCGCTTGTCTTGTGTACGCTTCTGCTGATTTCGTGCGTGCTTTCCGCTTGACGTGTGCGCTACAAGTTTCGAGATGCTTGCTGTTCTTCACGTGACTTTGCAATTTGTTGCTGTTGAAACAATGCACAATACAAGCTCAACTACTTATATTAAGACACATTTCACTCTCGTGTTAGACCGATTCTTAGATAGGGGGATCAGCTACATGTTTCCTGTGCCTTTATAGTGACGCGCTGCACCAAACTTGACCCTTTGCGAACTATCCCTCCTTTCGATCATATCATATCGTTGATTTTAAAAGACAGCAATGTGTAGCTCTGAGTGACAGTGGTCAGGATTCTCTCGTGGCAGAAAAAAAAGACACCTGCAAAACATCCTTTTAGTCAATAGAGTTACTTTTCAGCGTTTAATCTCGCCTTCGTTTTCTCTATAAATTCGCGTACTCGTAACAGGAAGGAACGACAAGACAAAAACAAAAGGCTCTTCAGCGCTGTGGTACCCTCTGCAAAGGTGCCTTCACTGCAACATGATAATGCGTGCAGCGAAGCGCACTTAAAAGCTACAAAGCTTCTATTCATGTATTTACACGTTTGCATGATATGGCGGTATTATTATTATTATGATTATTATTGGCTCCCACTACCACGAAACACTTTAAAAATACCAAGCGAGATTATTCCCATTGTGTTGACAAGATAAAGTAGCAAATTATGTAATTTTAAAAACTCCAACAACGAGCTATGACACTCTGTATTGCGCATCGTGCGTTGTAAGAAAACTCTAAACATGCCCACTGTTCCTGGGAATGTAGATTCGCCGAAAACTGAGTGCCTCGCAAACTTTTCTGGCTTAGTAACCACATCCATAGAAGTCATTTCCAACACTTTACCCTGCAACATTACAAAGAGCGGTCATACACTTAGGTTAAAAAGAAAAAAAAAACACGAAACAAGTTCTGTATCTTTCTATTTATTTCTTTTTTATTGGCAGAGATTGAAAGAGAGGGTTTCACTTTATTAATCTTCCCCCAATATTTTGTAATATCCGTCGGTTTGAAAGAAAAATGACAAAGGTGCCAGACACTACATTCATTTGTCAGCGTGCTTAACTTTATCTTTGTTTTCCTGCGATAGAAAATATACGGGCACTCTCGGCTGGATTTTGCCGCCGACGTCGCCGTCACTCACCATATATGAATACATATCTACATATATAAAAACACAACAAAGAAAAATATTCCAGAAAAAGACTTCGGCACGAGGAATCGAACGTCAGACCGCTGAATTGTGAGTGCGAGGTGTTCACCACTGTGCCACGAAGGAGCACCTCCTTCAACGTTCAAACCCGCCAGCTATTTTTTACTACCACTTTACGCTGTTGATGGGCATCTCGGGGAGAACTACTGTGTCTTCAGCATTACGAGCAACATGACACAATTAGCGTGCGTCGCCACATCGTCACGACGCGGCGGTGCGCGCTCTCGTCTCCCACGCGTACTTTGCCCCGCGGTGAGGGGGCAGGGTGGACGCTCACGCGTGCGCTTGCTTATCTCGCTGTGGGGACAATCGTACGCCTTGGCTAGCCTTGGGCTTTCGCCGGAACGATTCTGTTGTAGTTACCAGGCGCACAAAGGTCACTGCAATCGTTCCGCAGTCCCCGTTTGCGAAAAGGGCGCGCCTTTCAGACACAGCGAAGAAACAATTCAGACGCTTATTTGCATTCATCTGTACCTGTGAGTACGTTTCGTGCGCAATTAGTGCATGAGAAACGCGGGGCACGTTTCGATCTGCTTGCCATTCTGCGCGAGACCTTCCAATTTGGTGCTATCACGTGCATTGCTTCGCGTTTGCGGCAAAGCTGTGACTTTCCTTTTTTTGAACACGGGGCTTACTTTCAGTGTGACCGTGAGCGCGCAGGTATAGTTCTACACTGCGTGTAATTGGGGCATTACTGAGTGCAACACCGGCACGTCGCGACATCCCGAGGCCGCCGCGGTAACTATGCAAATCACGATACTCAAGTCAGCCAGTGATCGTGGGCTGTGTTTACGACGCTTTCGTTTTGGATCATGTGGCACCATTTGTCGAGAAAAGAGCCAACGGTTTCCACCAGAGTGAGAATTAATTGCAAAGTCCAGGTCACGCGCTGCGCTAAAATGCTTGGCTCACATGACCTCAAGAGCCTCGACTACCGATCAGCTACGTTATCTGACCACGGTCTAAAAGAGGTGCAGGGCCCCTTTAAAGGCGCACGAAACAGCTCTGAAAATGCCAAAAGCTGGACCGACCCCAGTGGCAAGCGGCGTGTTCTCCCCGATGACGGTGTTGGTGAGACTGCTGCTGCTGGCGCTGGATGACGATCGCTTGGCCAGGTTGGACTCAACGGATTGACTGCGTATCTTGACGCTGAGCGCCTTGCGGAAAAAGCCATCCAGAAAGCTCGCGCCGCTGGCCACGGCCACGGGGCCACCGTTGGTGGCCGCGCCATCGTCGAGCTCGTCACCGGTCAAGAAGCTGGCGCTGCCGGAAAATTCCTGCGTCTTGCAGAGCAGCTGGTCGTGGAGGGTCTGCAGCAGCGACGACCGGGTCCGCGCCTGGAGTGGAAAAGGCGGGTCAGCGAAATAGCCTCGACAGCATCTCGACAGCATTGAAAAGTGCATAAAAATGGTGTGTAACCAAGTTTGACTGAAAGGGCCACAAATGAGCTTTAAAATTGAGGAATTGACACACCTGGTCTGCAGGCTGACTCCTAAGAAAGCCCCTTGGTTCCTTGCGCATTTTCTAAAGGCGACTCAATGGTGAGAGCCATTTTTTTTCTTTTGAGTATATTCTACACCCGATCGTACTGAATTGGCATTTTCCTGTTACACACACACATACACGAACGCGCTCGAAATTATGTATACAGTAACACGCAGCTCTTTTGACTAACTTATGCCACTATATACTATCTTGACACGAAAGAGTTATTTCACGGCTTAGAGAATCGTAAGGAGAAAAAAAAATTAAAGCAGCACGCACTAAGTCACGCAAAGCTGGGTCACAGCAGAGCTGGTGGGTACCTATATAGGTCGTCCTGGCTTGGCTAGGCTTTCACCCTCTCACTTCTTTCTTTGCCACCCTTTCCTCACTATACGTGGCTATATCTGCTCCCGTTTTTATTTTTGTATCTCTTTGCATGTTTTTTCGTATGTCTTTTTATCCTTTTCTATGTTCCAATTCCTTCTATTTTTCTCTTTCGCTATTTTTTTCATGTCCTTTCTTTTTGACGTTCTGTCGTCGTTTTCTCACCTTCTACGTTTTTCAATCTTCACTTTTTTCTACATATTTCTGTCTTTATCGTTCTTTGTCTCTTTTCCTTTCTCTGAACTCATTGGTCCTCCTCCTCACCCCAAATATGTTCTCCTCAAGTTGAATCTACTTCCTTAATCCATTGCTTTACTCTACAAGGTTATGTTAGGCTCTGCTAGCATACCTTGGCAGCCGGATGGTTACGATGCTCGCCTCCGGACCCTGGGTAAGCGGGTTCGAATCCTGTCTCGTCAAGAACTTTCCTTCGCAAAATATTTATCATTTTTTGTTGTTTCTCTCGCTTTATACTAGTTCTCACGGGGATCAGAGTCATGCCATCCTACGCCGGACAAATCGAAACACGTGTCCTGGGAGCGAAGCGGAAGTTGAGTAATAGGACGAACGTTGCGCGTTCATAATGACGGTGACAGTTTCCTGTTTGCCGATTACACCAACGGCTTGCGTAAGCGGGTCCGCTGTTGATGAAAGTGAACGGCGCTCACCTCTAGCCGCGCAAACTGCTCGGCCCGGTACGACGCGTTCTCGGCGTTTATGAGCTTCTGGAGCAGGAACTCGCGGAATTCGGGTCCAGCCTCGAACTCGGCCGGCACCGGCAGCTTGGGCTCGAAGAAGGGAACGTCCAGTCGAGCCGTCACTGCCACTCGGTACCTGCGCAAGGAAAAGTCCCACGCACCCCTATGCATTTCCCTAAGACGATTCGAATGCCAAAGCCACCCCTTTTCTTCTCATATTCGAATGTGTAGATATATATTTACTGCATTGTTCTTTGGTACTGAGTGCTCAATAGAACGGCACCGATTCGCGTTTGTTGAGGCCCTCCGTGAACAGTATTAATAGAGCGAAGCAAAGGGGAGGCGACACAAGAAATGGTTCGGTGGTATCGAGCGAATAGCGCAAACTGCAAGCACTGCTATGTGTTTGCATGAAATACAGAAAAAGATGGTTCAGCTTACGAACAAACGTCGCACATGCACGCTTTATGCGTCGTCTAACCCATAAAGAGCCACAGGTACTCTGCTAACGAAACAGTAGTTATGCAATATATGTTGGTACGGCTAACTTGCTTTTCTGTTTATGTCTTCAACTTTCTAATGACTGTTATATATATATATATATATATATATATATATATATATATATATATATATATATATATATATATATATATATATATCGATCTAAACAAGAATAATTCCAAGGAAAGTATAGGGGAAAATAGTGGACCTATCTATCGTAATATACGGGCACTGCGCATGTGCAGTGAAATTTCTTCGGTACCACCAACCTTCATTTTTTTGTTTCCAGAACTATCCAGTAATAAGGTACTTCCTTGGATGTCCTTATCAAGGAATAAAATGAACTCCGACGAAGTTTTGTCAATGCGCGACATTTGATTTCGGGTCTCACCTCCGCACCATCCTTCTCCCAGATTCTCCGTTCACATTTATATTCGGTCGCCCCGCGAACTCGCCCGAACTACAACAATATTCCGAAAAACATTCGGCGATAGCATGGTTGAGTGATTGCGAATAATCTGTATTCTATTCTATAAAAGGGGTGCCTTGCCGATGGACCATTCGAGCGAATACTTTTGTCGCATTGCGTAACTTCACTGCGGGAAGCCTCAACTGCAGTTCCTCTCCTCAACTAGCAGTTTTGCACGACCTTTGTACAGCGGGTATATTGAACATGACTTATTAGAGATTGTGCAGCGGCAGTTCCGAGGCAAAAAAAAAAAAAGGAATGAGCCTGCCAAAAGCCGACGCCGAGCACGTAGAAAAACAAGAAAGAAGAATCAGAAAAGGTCCATTAGCTGGATATCGTCATGTACTCGAATGACGGAGGAAAAGTAAAATAACGATCAAACAGTGTTTTTCAATGAAGAGGACTGAAGAACGCAGCGAAATGCCTGGGACGATGATTCAGATCGATGACCGAAAGAGGAATTCTCTAAATAGAGGGAAAATCGGGAATGCGGAATGGAACCGCGGTCCAGACAATATTTGGGCCGTTGACCCCTCTGCGGGGGCGTGCGCTTCATTTTCGATATTACGCGGCAGCGAACTTTTTACCGGTCCCTATTTCTGGATCGGTGACTGATTTCGGCTGCAGGGAATGCACCAACTCGGCTTGCCCGAAATGTCCGCATGTGACGTTGTGGTTTTCAGAAATTATGAAGAAAGAAGGCTCGACCGGGCGCAATGAGAAATGTACAGAAAGCATGAGAAACAGCCCATGGTAACGACACGTGAGCCTATTAGCACATGACGAAAGAGCAGTGCGGGCTTGAAACGAAAATAGCGCGGACTTGACACGAGGACGTATCAGGGGAGGGGGGGGTGTTTATGTTTATAAGAAGGAAAAGAAGAGAAAAGTGAGCCCCGTAACTGTCTGCATCAGGGTGTGACACATCAACGTCGCTCACAAGGGATGGGGGTGAGGAGTGATTAAAAAGATAGTATTAAAGGTATATATATATATATATATATATATATATATATATATATATATATATATATATATATATATATATATATATATATATAGATTCGCTAAGCCAGCGAGCGAGGACATATTGAGGGGATAGGAGAGATAGGAAAGATGGAAACACGGTCACAGGAGTCCAAAGACGGGGTACCACTTGCGAGAGCTCTTGTCGGCGTCAGGATATGGCGTAGGGCAAGTCCAGTAGGTCAGAGCTACGCTGTCGTCGGAGATCGGCGTCAGGAGATGACGTAGGGCCAGCCCAGTCGGCCAGAGCTACGCTGACGTCGGAGATCGCGAGGGCACAACCTGCCGGCACGGAATCGAGCGAGCCGACGTAGCAGGTAACGACAAGCGCTGACTACAAGGATAAAGGTATTGTGGTGAGCGTCGGAACTCGCACGGATCAAGCTGTGTTTATACTCTCGCGCCTACGCAACTCAACGTAACACCAACTACGGGCCGTCAAGCTCACTAGTTGTGTTATCTCTTAAACTGTGCTTTAGATAACATGCTTTAAACATGCCCCCTCGTACGATTTCCTCCTCCTCCTCTCTTTCCTTCCCCTTTTGGCGGCGGCGGCACACACTTGCGTGCCGCCGCAGATAGGCAGACCGAGAACAAACAACCATACCGCACGGACGTTCTGTCTCGTAGTCAGTCCATCCGCTCCAATCGCAATGTAAAGGCCCCGAAAGCAGCGATAACGTGTTCGAATAGTTCGATACTGTTATAAAACTTTTGAAGTGTTTAATTATAGCTTGCCTTTATACATGGGGGAAGTGATTTTAAAGGAAAAGAAGAGAAAAGTGAGCCCCGTAACTGTCTCTCAGGGGGAGAACACCTCAACAGTAGCTCACGAGGGATGGGGGTAGAGATGGGAATAAAAGGATAGGATTAAAAGGTAGAGAGATGGAGAGAGAGAGGGAGCAGAGAGCGAGGCCGTGGGACAGGGAGTGACGGAAGTAAGGAGAAGACAGTACGTACTACGGGGATTTCTTACACATGAGGTGCAACTGTTACACAAGAATTCAACTTGGTGCGCAAGCAGAAAACAAGAAGGAAGACAGGAAAGAGCGTTGTTTTCATTCTCCTTTCTTTCGTTCTGCTTACGCAGCAGATCGAGCTAGTCCGCGAATGCGTTCTGCTGTTGCACTAGGCCCGCGCAGCCTTCCTGCGTATGCAGTGAACACGACGACGGCCGTGACGTCACTGCACCTGTTGTCCGATCACAGTCTACAGTGAAATATGTGCTCTAAAATTGGGTCTTCATTGCTGGTATGCGTCGATGCTGGGGCGCTGCCCGCAACGAGTTCACTACGCAATAATTCTAAAAAGCGAACTTAAGGCCACGTACGTAACGCGGTACTAATCCTGGCTTCAGTGTAAAGCTCCTTAGTATTGATTTATTGATTCCGGACAACCACAGACCTATTATAGTGTCACCTGCAAAGCGCTCCAACTTTTCGCTATATCAGCAATTAAGTACTCTTGCTTCACGAGGGTCAGTAGCTTAAACGAACACGACGAGAAGAAGAATGTACTTATATATGCGCACGAACTTAGTGTCTCCGCAAGTTTCCGGTTGGTATCTTCAGAGTCGACTACAGTTTCATAGTCCAGAACTGTGACGTCACGAAACAACGTTCAGTGTGCTACGCTCAGCGTGAAGTCACGTTTAGCAAAATCCACCGTATGTATTTCCTGTTGCTTTGGTGAAGTTTTATAGGAACCAGGACAACCGGAAACCGGAACTACCAGAACGAAAGCATCCCAGATCAAGATGAGTTTTGCGACTTTTCCGCTAGAGGAAGCGCATGTGCCGTTGCATGAAGCAAAAAGTCACAGCGTTGCCGCAATGGTGAAACAATGAACGCGATAGCAACGAATTGGAAGTTAACGCGCAGAATGGCAAGCAGATAGAAACATGCCCCGCCTTTCTCACGCACAAATGACGCACGAAAAGTACTCGCAGGTACAGGTGAAGGCGAATAAGCGTCTCAGTTACTTCGCTGTCTGAAAAGCGCGCCCTTTTCGCAAACGGAGACTGTGCAACGATTGCAGTGACCTTTGTGCACCGGGTAACTACAACAGAATCGTTCCGACGAAACCCAAAGGCTAGCAAAGACGTACGATTCTCCCCACTGCAAGATAAGGGCGAGCGATCGAGCTTACACCCCCTTATTCTCTGCGCGGGCCAAAATACGCGTGAGAGATGAGAGCCGCCGCAAGCTCGCTGCGACATCTTGCTGATAATGCTGAAAACACGATAGTTCCCCTCCTAGATGACGGCCAACAGCAGTAAGTGGAAGATATGAAAAACTTGCCGTTTCAACGTAGGTGGAGGTAACTCTTGGTGGCTCAGAGGATAACGCCTCGCATTCACGACGCGGAGGTTCGAGCCTCGATTCCAAGCGTTGGAGTCTATTTTTCTGAGATTTTTTTTTCTTACGTTTTCATATAACAGATACGTGTAATATAGGGTGATGACATCGACGCCGGCGACGAAATCCAGCCGAGAGTGTGCACATAATTGCTATCGCAATAAAAAAAAATGACAGGATGTTCATGGGGTGAATGATGAAAAGTGGGGCGAAGATGGGTCTGCACGCCGCTGCCGCGCTTCTGCTTCGCGCGCCCGCACGTCGGGGTCCCTTCTTCGAGCGCGAGCCACGTTAGTGGCGCACGCCTCTCAGCAACCTTGTCCATCTTCCATCGCCGAGCCTCTGAATGCACGCGCGCGCGCCAGAGCAACACTTTTTCCTGGCGTACGGCACCGCCGAAAAACACGCGATCGTAGTCGCGTGATCGTCCCTCTCTCCTTCCGTACGTGTGACGCCAATCCTTCTTTTCTACAAGTAACGCCCTCTAGTGTCTTAGCATTTGCATTTTGCAGCGTATAGTACAAGTACCGCCGCCTATGGCCGGTTCAAGAATTAACGAGAGGCAGGTATGTGCCATCAGCGGTTACGACGGGGACGCTCGGGCGACGCCATAAAGAGTTTCGCCCCTAATAAGGCGCGTTGTTGTTGTTGTTGTTGTTGTTTTAACTGTTTTGCTGTGGAGAGGTTGAGGAGCCTATTGCCTCGGCTACTCCATATCACAGAGTTCTGCAGCGAAAAATAAAAAAAATAATACAGAACGGTACCCAAAAATTAACAATA